ATTTTAGCAGAGTTGCTTCTACAAGTAACTTTGCTAAAATTTAAGCAACTCAAAAAGTGGACAACAACTGATTTAGCAGTGATGTGGCACAGAGAGTTGCTTATAAGCATAGTTTTAAAAATCGGACCGGTCATCGAACCGGTTAAGGTACTGGGTCAGTGGGTCAAAGGTTGAACCGGTGGGTCATTAGTTGAACCGCATGACTCGATTTTTATTTATTTATATTAAAAAATATTCATATTAAATATATTTTATACTTATAAATTTTAATAAATTCATATCTTATTTTAAATTTCAAATTTTCTATCTTATTTAAAATTATTTTTATTTTTATTTTGTAAAAAAATACATAAAAAAATTACATGTTAAACGGTATATTAATACAAATTAAAAATATAAATAATATGTACATATATAATATGCTAGCAATTAACATCACAAAATAATATATGTAATATTTACATAGATATTATATTATTAAATATATAATTTAAAATTAATAATATACGATAAAAGTTATTTAAGTTGTATATATTGCAAAAAAATATATTAGACAAAGTAGTCATTGTTATATTTAATAAGACTCCTTGCTTTTCTATTAAGAGATTCAATTTTCATTATTATTTTTGTGGTTTAAGGTTCCTTAAAAAAATTTAAAAAAGAAAAAAGAAAAAAGTGGTTGAACCGGTTTGACCCACCGGTTCACCAGTTGAACCGGAAAATTGACCGGTTCAATCCGGTTTAAAACGGGTCGACTGCATAACTGATCCAACTTAGAATTCGGATCGACTAGACCACCGATTCCCGGTCCAACCGATCCGATCAGCCAATTCAATCCAGTTTTTAAATCACTGCTTATAAGTAACTCCTATTACCGATGTTCTTAGAAAATAAGCGAGGAGGACATGGAAGTGTAATTTTGAAGGGAAAAAAATTCAAAAGAAACTAATCTACTTTTAACCTTCAATAATATATAGACAAATTGTGTCGTAAAATTTACTTAAATACAAAATCCACTCTGCCACATCAATCGATTCGATTGTTGAAAATTCACATAGAAATGAAGATAAAAAGAAGAAAAACTCAATTCATTGACATGACAGCAAAACCACATTACTCAGTGTTTTGTGTAATTTTATGGATATTTTTTTTATGGACAAGGATATCTGACTGATATCTAGTTCAAAAATTATTAAGCATATATAAATATGTGCAGCATAATTAGAGCAATAAATTTCTGAGTATAAACATTTATTTATCATATACTTATGTTATATTTACACTTTTTTTTCCTCAAAAGTACGTGGGTATCTTCCAAAGTTCTACATCGGATAGTTTTGAAGAAGGAAAGTGGTACTATAAATAAGGGATGATAGTTTGAATCTACTCACCACAACAACAACACTAGTCTTTGGGTGTATTGGAGACTTGGGTAATTGTGTGTCAAGAGAGAGTTTACAATTTTTCCTTGCAAAAATTGTGTGAGAGGATTTGCAATTTTTCCTTGTAAAAATTGTGTGAGAGGATTTACAATTTTATCCTTGTAAAAATTGTAAGTAGAGAAATAAAATAATTTATTGAGTGTGTTTGTGGATGTAGGCAATAAGTGCCGAATCACGTTAATTTCTGAATTTATTTCTCTCTTTTTGTTTTTCTCGTGTGTGAGGTTCAGCTATTGAAGGCTTCCCTTCCCAACACTTTTTTATTTATTTTCCTTTCTGAGTGCCTATTTATTAAGTACTAAGATGGAGTGTTTATACATCATTTTTCATATATTTAAAAGTAATTTCAAGTGTAAAAAACAAGGAATTTTGTTTATAAAAAAAGAAAAAGAAATGATAGGTATGAGTGAATCATTTTTCTGATGGTGCCTTTAATACCTTTCCCATCAAAGTATATAAAGATCGTTTTGTCCTAACAAAGATCGAGTAAATTATTTTATCCTGATCCGATCGATAATTAATCTATACTTGTGAGTGACAGAAAGTGAAGCTAGCTAGTAACACTTATTATGCTTCACAAATGTCTTCTCAATAGATCAGCACCAGCTTCGTAGCCTACATCAAATTAATATATACCAATACCACAGGCGTAACGTGCAAGTTTATTTATATATATATATATATAACAAATCATTAATTTGTCAGTTCCCAAGGAGAGGGAAGTTTTCAATTTGTGTGCATGAGAAGGAATATTTTTCCCTCTGTGCATGCCAGCATATTGCAAATCAGAGCTCTAAAATATTTGAAAATGGTCACACTCCAGTTGCACTAATTTTAAAATTTCCTAGTTTACTCCCCTTTTCGATTTCTACTCAATATTATGGCCCCTTGCTGTAAAGCTTTGCCTATTTAAGCTACCTAGCTAGTATATATGTGCAAGATTACAATCCTGATTCCCACAAAAAATATATTACATGCTTTGGAATTATCATATACAATACAGTCAATTAACTTTGACATGATCAAATATTTCTTTAAAAAAATTAAAAAGGTGACCATATGTAACATAGAGTTTACCATTAGAAAGGTGACTATATGTATACATAGAGATATGTAAACTCGTAATAATTCAAAATCATTCATTACTTCACCATTTTATAATAAATTAAAAAACAAGTATTATATTAATTTTTTAATGCAATATTAATTATTATTTTCATTAATATTCTTAATAATATTATGTAGAAAGATATTTTTGTCTTGTATTGTTTTTTTTTTTATAAAAAAAGATTAATCATAAGATTAATGTTATAAAATTATTATTATCTTTTATTTATTTATTAATTTTTTAATCATTATAAAATGATTTAAAAAGGACACATATTGTAAAAATAAATAAATATTTTTTTTTGGCGTCGAGAGCATATCTTGTCTACCTATGAACAAATGAATCCTCATGATTTGACAATTAATATCATCCTACACATCTTCTATACAATTTCTTTTTTGTATAATGACCACAATGATGTTAGTATCTGACCTTATGTATATTACTCTAACACTGACCCTTACTCTTTGATTGATGCCGAGAGATTACAGGAAGAAAGTAGTGCCTATGTAACTTTTTCCTAAATAAACACTTATACTTCTATTAATGCTATTATTAGTTATTATTATTTCGATTTGAAGCTATTCTTGTACTGTATTGTGAGGCTAGGGAGGAGTTGGGGAAAAAAAGTTGTTCGAAGTTCTTATATGAGGGAAAAAACATTAATTTTTGACATAGGAAGACATTTTAGGTGCTGAACCATTTATTGGCCATTCAAGTAGAATCCGCCATGCAAGTAGAATCACATTTAACTTTTTTCCTAGGAGGATTTAGGGAAAACACATTAACCTTTTTCTAACCAATTATTGGCCATCCGAGTAGAATCTTCCATGTAAGTGGGACATACACTTATTTGAGGTTTAAGTCAATCAGTTCAACGTTAATTTTGCTGCTGTTGTGCTAGCACTGTCTTATAAGGATGCATATTATCAAAGTATTAACTTACGTTTTTGCATGTAAGTATTATAAAACGCATTTAAAACTTACCATGATTATGTATATCAGTATTATGTGTGCATATTATCAAGGCAGAGAATTGTATATTATCAAAGTTTGATCGGCATTACATTAGGCAAAAGAAACAACGTTGTTGGTGGTGGATTCTTTTTTTTTTCCAGAGCTTGTTAAATTCCTAGATTAGACATCTCCAATAAGAATTGTTCACACGTTAGTCCAAGCAGCACCAAACTACTAACCAGTTAGGTGAAAGAAGAAGCACATATTGTAATTTAAGATTTCCAAGTAAGCCGCATGAAAGCTGCATTTTATAGGTGAACAGACATAGTGGTGTACAATGAATGTAGCCATTGACTTATGCATAGTGTATACTTCAAATTTATCTTGCTGAGGATGGGATGGATATATGCTAGCTCCACTTTTGGTAATAAACTACATATTTGCTATTACTGTGAGAATCAAAGCTGCAAATATCTGCACCACTTGGAGACACGAAAACAGGAAATCAATATATAAACTAAATAAAAGAACTAGCCAGTGGGGTGTATCCAAGTTAGAGTCAACTGAAGCCTTTTCTACCAGACCATAGAAAAGAAAAAACAACAATCTGCTACTAATAATTTAGAAATGTAAACAATGGCCTTGTTTTGTTCCATTGTGCTTCTTGTTTCTTAATGTTCCTTCTTTTGGCTTAATGCTTAATGCATGTACATAAACAAATAATACACGAAGATTCTAGGATGTTTATTTTTCATGTAATGTGTTTAGTGTGTTTAAGTGCTTATCTATTATTATTATTATTATTTTTTTTTTGGTTTTGGCACAATAGCAAGAGAAGTGCAGTGTTTGGACTTATGCAGTTTCTCATGAGTATAAACAAACAAAAGTTTCCTTCAAGTGGGGTTAGAGCAATTAGGTGTAGTGGCAAACAAGAAAGCAAGAGAGAGGCAAATGTAGTAAAAGGGTTGCATGCTTTTTCTTGTCACTTCTAATTTGAGATCCAGGTTACTGAGCTTAAATGTTATGAGTAAAGAGCTAGAAAGTAGGGGAAAATACCTAGAAGCTGCGGTTCCCTTTCCAATAGCAATTCACACTGATTTTTATTTCTCGATGATAATTCGAGGACACAAAAAGTTAGGGAAAAGAAAAAGACTTTAGTTTGAGGTTAATGGGTATCCATCAATCAATCAAGGAGGAATTGATAAACAAATATGATCTTTACAAGCACGGTTATTCTTTCTTTCTTGTTTTCAGTAATATTCTTCAGCTGCTGTTGCTGTTATCTTTATTTTCTGGCCACTGCCCACAAGCATAGATTCTCTCTATGTGCGAGTCCTCTGTCCTTGCTGTGTGCCTTAGAAATGGATGAATGTGCTTTACACTGCTTGGATTCTCTCTGCCCATAAAAGGTTTTCTGCTTTTGTCTCTCTATACCTCTCCTTTTCATTGATGCTTGCTTTCTTAGGCGGTTCTAGGCACACTCATTGCTGGTGTGGTGTGAACACTACACGTACATAAGGGTGCACACATACACGTTTTATTCCAACTCCACCTTACCCCTCTTGGTATAAAGAGGCATCACCATTCTGCATTTTCTTCATTGCATAACCTCTTCATAGTCCCTTGAGATTGACTCACTTTCAATAGGTGGGCGTGTTTGTAACAGCAAAATGAGCTATGCACATTATCATATGGGCTCTGGTTAGATATTTTGCTCCTCTCCATTGTCCTTTATCCTTCTTCACACCTTGCATATTGCTCTCAAGAACTCTTTCTTTTTTTAAAATGGTTGTGTTTGGAAAGTCAATTTTATAATTCATGCATCTGTTCTTTTGTTCTAGCTTCTTCTATTGTTTTACTGTTGTTATCAATGATGGTTTCCTTGGTCCATTTGGAAGATCATCGTTACTTTTTCCCCATGTTTTAAAATCTATCAGCTATCTTCAAACTTTATATCCATTTGCAGGTAGTAGAACTGCTAGGAGAAGTTTGGAGTTTGGGAAGACACATGTGGTGAGGCCAAAAGGAAGACACCAAGCCACTATAGTTTGGCTGCATGGTCTTGGTGACAATGGTTTGAGGTATGGATGTCATCACTTCAATATTGTTATATGCCTCATTCAGCTACTGGGCATGTATTGTACATTTTATAGTGTGGATCCTTTCATAGCTTGTGCCCTCTCGTTTTACCTTATCTCCTTCTTGTCACTTTTTCTTTCACCAAAACCCTCTTTGTGTTTTTCTTTTTTGATCTGCTCTTGCAGAGTTAGTTGGTAAGTTTGAGCAGTAATTCTGACTAGAATACTCTTTAGATTGATATATCAGAGGGATCCAAACTTGTGTTTTCCTAATGTTGTATGTTTTCAGTGTGGAGTTTCTTTTAGTTGAGATTCTAAATGGAATAAATTCTGTTGGAAAAAGTTGTTGTATTTAATTGTTAGAAGTTTGATTTGGAAGAGTATATACTAGATTCTTGATTGGGGGGCAAAAAGATCATTTGATTTCTCTACTAAAATGAGCAACTTGACATGACTTTTGACAGAAGAATATTTATATGACTAGAAAAATAAACACATTCTAGATTTTATTTTCTAAACAGTGTTTTTAAATATTGTCTCACAAAATACCATTCAGTTTGATCATTTTAATTTATGGATTTTTATCTAGCAAACCTGTGTTTTCCTGATTGACATTTGTATTCTTCTCCGATTCTTATTAAAGATTGAGCTTTGTTTTGTTGCAGCTCATATCAGCTGCTGGAATCTCTTCCACTTCCAAATGTAAGAAATGAATTTACCTATTTTAGCTTTTGTACAGACATGTTCTCACTTTATCCCTATAATATTCTGATAAATCTATTCTCTGGTACAATATATGATGTGATATTGTGCAGATAAAGTGGATTTGCCCAACTGCTCCTACCCGCCCTGTAACCATACTTGGTGGTTTTTCTTGCACTGCATGTAATATTAAACAAACCCCAATTGTGCTTCTATTCATTCTGATTGAATCAACACTGTATTACTGTTAGCTAACACGTAAACCTTATTTTCTTATCTAACATCGATCAGGGTTTGATATGGGAGAACTTTCAGAAGATGGTCCAGATGATTGGGAGGGTTTAGACGCCTCAGCAGCACATATTGCCAACTTGTTGTCTACAGAGCCAGCTGATGGTACTTCCAAGGCTAAATAATAATTAAGAATAAATGTTTTTAATTTTTGGAAATAAGAAAATGTTCATTTTGGTACCTAAAAGTAAATCCTCTCTTTTTTAATCTCTCATTTGTAAAAATATATGTCAAATGTGGTCCCCGTCAATCACAAAAAAATTATGTGCTTTTGGTATTTCATTTATGGAAATAAAGATCCCATTTGTCAGATTTTCATAAATGAGGGACTCAAAAGAAGCAATTTGTTTTTGTGAAATTAAAAGCGAACATTTTCCTATTTGCAGACACTTAAAACATATTTAACTCCAATAATTAATAGTTTCTCAAGTATTTTTATGCATTGGAGAACGGATTTTTTTTCATCTATAACTATTCACTTAAAAGGAAAAATAAAGAGCGAAAAATTTATCAAACTCCGATCTTAGTTTTGCCACCTTTAAGCATATCCAATCCAATTCAGCGCTTGTAATTGATATATTTTGTTGATTCATTCATTCTGTTGAAGTTTAATAAGACATGGATTTTTTGTCACAGTGAAAGTTGGAATTGGAGGCTTCAGTATGGGTGCTGCAGTAGCTCAATATTCTGCAACTTGTTTTGCCATGGGAAGGTATGGAAATGGCATCCCTTACCCTGTCAACTTAAGAGCAGTTGTTGGACTGAGTGGCTGGCTTCCAGGATCAAGGTATAATTACATTAGCATTAAATCGTGCGTACACACACACATATATATATATATATATATCCATGTAGCCGCATGCTAATGGTATGATTACACATTCTGTAGGAGCTTAAGGAACAAGATTGAAGTGTCACATGAAGCCAGAAGGCGAGCTGCTTCCTTACCTGTTTTCTTGAGCCATGGAATCAGTACGTATCTGTACATCTAAAATGTTGTGACAATGTTCCATTTTATTAGATAGGCGAGCTTATAAAGTAAATACCATTGTGTTTCATTAGACTCAAAAGCGTGTTAATAAATTTCTGGTTACTGTGAATATTTTCATTCAGCACATATAGTTGTTTTGTTGACTATGTGAAGTAGATTTCATGCATCATACATTGTATATGTTGGTGTTTTTTGCTGCTATCAATATGCTTGTACATGGTTAAACATACACATACAACTATGATTTATACAACTATTCAAATGAGAGGAATGGCAGTGACACTCTTTCTAACACTTTTTATTATAGGTTGAAATTTGTAGGGAATTACAAATTTTGTGACTCTTGCATCTCATTTAATGAGTCTCTTTTCTGATATAGTTATAGAATCCACCAAAATCTATGATATTCAATCAATATTAGAAAGTACTAACAAAAGAGTGTTATGTGTCGATAACATTTCTCATTCAAATGATGATCAGTTTAAGCACACTTGAAGCATAGTTGTTGATTGAAGCCAACCTCCAAAATTCATTTTGTAGGTGATGATGTAGTCCTCTGCAAATACGGAGAGAAATCAGCTCAATCCTTAAGTTCAGCAG